CGACATTAAACAGAATATGGCCGGCGAGACGAACAATTTCGACAAAAGTCGGCATTCACAAACGTTACGCTTTTAGTCATTTGGATGAAGTTGTTTTAGAAATCACTACTTTGTGTAATGGCACTTGACGTTTGGTCGTGCTATTTTACGAAAAATATTAATCTTAATATATATAAATCACGTGTCACGTTGTTTGTCCGCGATGGTCTCCTGAACTACTTAACCGATTTTAAATTAAATTTGCACACCATGTGCAGTTTGATCCAACTTGAAAGATAGGATGGTTTTTAATTCGATTAATGGTCGCAATATTTATTAGTTAACAATAAAATGATTTCTTATGTTGATTTTTGTTATTAATTATAAGTTTCATAAGTCTAAAAGAGATGGCGCCTTAAATAAGTTTTTACAGACAATTGTAATACTGTCTGACATTAATATCTCATAGATGGCGCTGTGTTAAAAATACCAACGTTTCACATAAGCTACAATTTAATGGCATAAACACCACGTGTTGCTGAGGCTAAAGTAAAAGTGAAACTTATTTCGTAATAAACTTAATACAGTGAAATCCAATTGTTCTTACTTTGTCAATTTGTGGTATTAGCATAGCCGGCCGCGTGTTATTTAGAAACAAAAACCTTAGCCACAGCAACGTGTGACCGGGTCTGCTAGTATAATATATTTATCAATTTTCGTATACTAACAAAGTGATCTATCTGTAATAAATCTGTCCAGTCTCCGAGGAGACCCACTTAGCGCTAATTATCATAGAATACAAGTAATACGGTAAAAACAACATCGCACTTACAACATTTTCTAGATAAGCAAAATAATATCGACAGCTATAAAACCATAGAGTCAGTTGTTGATCAGTAATATTTATTTTCCTAGGAGCTGGGCATTAATAACTAGCTCTATAAATTTGGAGCCTAATCACGATAGTCTTTTAATGTGAAGAGTACAACGGTCACCAGCGGTCTCATCTGTATTATTGATATGGACAACTTATGCATAGTTTCAGGAAGATTGAGCCTTATTAGTGTTAAATTAGGACGGATGTATCTATTCGTGGGCGTATGTAACAATATGGTACAGTAATCGGCACGAATCGTGAGATCTGACCTGGATATGTACATAAGTGCATTTTTGGGTCTGTTTGGGGGAACGAGGCAAGAACGGGGGTGGCGCCGCCCATATCGATTACGTGACTGGATCGTCCCTTGCGTCACAAACCGTCAGTTGTGCTTGGTTTCCTGTGTAGTGCACGCGCATCACTGCAGCAAACTACACTTTCGTGCAATTTTATCAACTTAAATATTAAGTGTGTTAGCTAGGTTTATTAACCACACATTTTTTATCAACTTCATGTATTTCGTCCAGGAACCAACTTCTTATGAATAATGTACTGTGGATAAATGAACATTTAGTACCAAAAGTACGAGAAAAGCAAATTAGCGGTTAAAACTCGACAACATATCTGATCTCTAGAAAAAAACCGGGATGAATAGATAGCCATTTGGAAATCGGTTAAAATAGGGTTATTTCTTACTATAATACAAGCGAAACCCCGGGCTAAAACTATTATAAAATTTCTAATACATTTTGAAACCCAAATTGAACGAAGTTAATTTAATTATAAAAAAGGTAATACATGAGTGATCCATTTATTTTTACCCTAAGTGTACGATGCGCAGACGCCCCCCCCCCCCCCCTTTGTCGAGAGCTCACGACTCGTGCGGATTACCATAAGTTCGATTCGATACAACTGAATTTTTGGTTTATCGTTAAAAATACTATTTGGACATTTGAAATTGACCCATATACTTAGTCTGGTCATAAATACTGTTACAATTAAAAATAAACAAAATATTACTTTTGAATTTGGAATCTGTCATTTTTATATGATTTCTCATTGAGTTTTCTCATTTTGGCGCTAATACATTGTACAATATTTTGCGATATTAAAATGGAGAGGGGTGATAAAGAGAACCGAATCGCTGTGATTGCATTACACAAAGTAGGTATGGAAGTGTTCGTACGAAAAAGGTGGTCAAAGCAGTAAGGAAAAGAATTCAAAGAAATCCTGTCCGAAAGCAAAAGATTTTATCTCGGGAGATGAAGATAGCACCTAGAACCATGTCGCGTATTTTAAAAGATGACTTAGGACTTGCAGTCTATAAGAGACGGACTGGTCATTTCTTAACTGATAATTTAAAAGAGAATAGGGTGGTAAAATCGAAACAACTACTGAAGCGGTACGCAAAGGGAAGTCATAGAAAAGTTTTGTTTACGGGTGAGATTTTTTTTACAATTGAGCAACATTTTAACAAACAAAATGACTGTATTTATGCTCAAAGCTCTAAGGAAGCTTCCCAATTAGTCGACAGAGTGTAACGTGGGCACTATCCGACTTCTGTGATGGTTTGGTGGGGTATTAGCTATGAAGGAGTGACTGGGCCATACTTTTGTGAAAAAGGTATCAAAACATCGGCACAAGTGTATCAAGATACCATTCTTGAGAAGGTAGTGAAGCCCTTTAACAACACCATGTTCAATAATCAAGAATGGTCCTTCCAGCAAGACTCGGCGCCAGGTCATAAAGATCGGTCTACGCAGTCTTGGTTGGAAACGAACGTTCCGGACTTTATCAGTGCTGAAGACTGCCCGTCGTCTAGTCCCGATCTTAATCCGCTGGATTATGATTTATGGTCAGTTTTAGAGAGTACGGCTTGCTCTAAACGCCATGATAATTTGGAGTCCCTAAAACAATAAGAGTGAGAAAGAGTGCGTGCTTCTATTGATAACTTGCCTCAACGTTTAAAGGACTGTATTGCAGCCAATTAAGACCACTTCGAATGAGCTTTTTATACTTTAAATTGTTTTATATTTATGTATTAAACTAACAAACACACTGTAAAAGTAATAAATGTTATTTGCAATATAATTTTCTTTTTCCTTTGTCTCAGTATTTATGGCAAGACTAGGTATAATATTTTCTGGGCTTTAAAAACAGTGTCAATAATTAGGGTGATGCCAATAGCAGTGTGGACTACCTTAGATTCTACATTAATATTATTTTGGTAATATTCATTCAACACGTACGTATTATTACTCGAAAAACGTGCAACCATCCCACGCTATTCGGAAATAAACCTAGGAAAATAATGAACATTTTCTAGAACATGCAATAAAAATCGGTGCCGATTCGAATGAAAACCAATTTAATTAATACCTAATTCATTTATTTTACAGAGCACAATGAAAGGGCTTTCATTTCATAAGCTAAAAAAAATCAAACTAAAACCACAAAATGCGAAAACGACTGTTTGATTTTTCATAAATACATTTCCATAAACTCGGCTTCCTGCTTCCATCACGTCAACAAAATCGGCTGCGAGAAATTAATGATGCATAAATTCAAAGAATACATGCATTACACGAATTTTATGACAAGACTAGGAGGTATTCTTGGGTTTTTTAGTGCTGGCGGAAAAAATACGAAGAATTATTCACTATTTATGTAGTGACAATAATCAGTATAAACAGTAATAAGAAATTATTACCGTAAAGTAATAATTAAAATTTCCTAATTAACTACAATGAATGTTTCGCAATAAATATAATCATTCCATCAATATTTAATACCAAACTGTACAAAATTTTAAATAAAAAATAAGACAGGATGATGTTATTCCTGTGTATTTGCTTAGCTATCGTTTATTTAGCCACGTATGACGTCAAGTATCAGCCGTAGCAGTTACTTTGAGCGGCAATTTTAAATAACCAACATTGTCCTAACGTTTTCGATAATAATACCTGAACTCATACTCCATCCTGACTCTGGCGGTTAACTGCTCTAAATAATTTGTGCGAAATGCGCGTAAGCAAGAAGGAGCTTGTAGATAGGACATAAAACCAATAATCGCAAACGACCAACCTCGACAACGAGTTACGGCCAAGGATATGCGAATCCATTAAGACGCGCCCAATTATATTATTATTGCTACTTTATTCTCTAGTCCGAAATACTGCAGCAAGTGGCACGTTTTTTATTTTAAAATATCTTTCTTCCAAAAAATTCAAAATCACAGGGACATACCTAGGTTATAAAAGGAATAAAGTAGGTATTAAATTAGAGTAGAAATTACTAAAACCAACAACTTGTATTTTTCTTCAAAGTTTGGTTCAAAATAATATAAAAAATAGATACTTTATTGAAGTGTAGTGTATAATATTATTTGTACTTGAACATAAAAAAATAAAAAAATCAACAGATTCCATTAATTTGTTTGGTTATGAGTAGACCAGTTTTCATTCGGTATTCATCTATAAATCGCACCGATACAGGTTGCTGACACTAAAAATTTCATAAATCCAATATCTTGGCCGATCCGAATCAATTTGCATTGGCACCGAAGGATCGTTATTGTGTCGGTGATTTAAACATTGTTATTAAGTAGAGCAAAAGAAAATTACAATATCACTGTAACAAAACATTTTCGAAACAACTTTAGAACTTTATTTAGTACAACTACTGCCCCCTATGGATACCAAACGAGAATTAACGATATGGTTTATCAAGTCAGCATTGTTCATTGTCATGGTGATTCACTTCAACAACAATTTTAACCCTAAATTTCCTTAAACTATAGATGAAAATGAATAAAGGGGAAGTAGTCGATAAAATTGGTACATTTATTTAATCATTACATTGTTTTATAACATAATATTGTCCAAAACATGGGGTTTGTGCAAAATGTATAACCTCAGGACAAACACAAGTATCCTGTTACAATTACTGGATTTTTAATAGGTAATAATTGTATGCGAACTTCAAAATAGCTTTTTTATAATAATGGTACGTTGCTAGCTTTCATTTCATTCAAATTTTCTATTCACATAATAGCAAAACATGTTTAAAATGAGCATCATACGTGATGTCAGCACAGTGTCGGAGAGGTTATGTTCGCGACAAACAAAAATATTAAGGCGTTTACCTCGTTCAATTCCTTGTCCGGGGACCGATATCACAGTAACTTTGCACAGTTTTATTCACAATAAACTAACAATGTTAATTTTAGTTAAGAAATAGGTTTGCATCACAGAAATAACTAAATAAAACGGAAAACATTGAAAGCGGACAAGAAGCGCGACGCGAAACGGCAAGCTAAGCAGCAGCTGACTACGCGCGGCCGAGTGACGTGACTTTGTAGTAGCGTTTTAGAGTTGAAAATATTATAACAGAACTGTTCTCGATTAGACTATTTTCCGTAACAGTGCGTGTAAAAAGGTATTTAGTGTGTAAATACGATAATTGTAAATTGAAATGTTGCCTTTAATACACATGAGTATTGCTTTGGAGTTTTTAAATTCGTTCTTAAAACACTTTTCATTTTATTGTGAATTATGATATTAAGAATCTGGAACTAGTCATGATTTTATTCATTTGCAACCTAATATTTGAATTTTTCAAATTCTATCATTTTAATTGTTTATTTTTATAGCGTCGTTACAAGGTTAAATGTGTACATGCGCAACGTGGAGGAGCGGTGTGGGCGCGCACGGCGCCGACAGTGCTGCCCTCTTGTGGGCATAGTGTAAATTATCGATTCCCCGCGCTGCTAGTACCCGCCCGCCATTGGTTTTGTTCAGTAATTGGTTTATGTAGCCTCTTCGTAACATGAATTCAAATTTAGCGCGCTGGAGCTTTCCGATATACAATAAAATGATTGTAATCTATTTGTTTGTGTTGGAAAATTTACACGTAACAGAAAAAAAAAAGAAATCGTCGTGAACAACTACATAATTTTTTTATGTTGAAAATAAAACAATTAATCCCTGAAGAAATTAGGCTATGTACCTACTTATTATCAACTAGTTAATTAGTGCACAGAATATACATAGAATGAAATATTTGTGAAATGTAGAGCTCAAATTGAGAATATAGGAAAGCTTAAAAATCTTTACTAATCGTAGCAAATAATATCTGAAGAATAAAATTAAATTTCACATGCTGTCTATTGATGTAATGCATTGCTAGGCGGACGACAGCACGGGGGATGCGCGATATGTCAGCCATAAGAGTTTCTCTCGGAGCATGGTGCAAGAGAGACGATCAAAACTGAAGTAGAGAACTCTCTGGGGCGAGTCTCCGAGTAGGGTGAATTGAACTTGGTTCAATTTAACCAGTTGACACAAGTTTGCGCATTCACTGCGAAGAAGGACCCCTTTGTCATGGTGCCGCAATTCCAAGGAGTATCTCTGCGACCTCCCACAAGTATCGGGATACTTGGGATTGACGTTTCCAACGATGTCCAATTTCGGAGTCATTTGGAGGGAAAAGCCAAGTTGGCGTTCAAAATGCTGGGAGTCCTCAACAGAGCGAAGTGGAACTTCACGCCTGGACAAAGACTTTTGCTTTATAAAGCACAAGTCCGGCCTCGCGTGGAGTACTGCTCCCACCTCTGGGCCGGGGCTTCCAAATACCAGCTACTTCTGTTTGACTCCATACAGAAGAGGGCCGTTCGGATTGTCGATAATCCCATTCTCACGGATCGTTTGGAACCTTTAAGTCTGCGGAGGGACTCACTTCTCTCTGTATTTTGTACCGTATTTTCCATGGGGAGTGCTCTGAGGAATTGTTTGAGATGATTTCATCATCTCGTCTTTACCATATCACCGCCCGCCACGGGAGTAGAGTTCATCCATACTACCTGGAGCCACTGCGGTTATCCCCAGTGCATTTCCAGAGATCTTTTTTGCCACGTACCATCCGGCTTTGGAATGAGCTCCCCTCCACGGTGTTTCCCGAGCGCTATGACACGTCCTTCTCAAACGAGACTCGTGGAGAGTACTTAACGGTAGGCGGCAGCTTGGCTCTGCCTCTGGCATTGCTGAAGTCCATGGGCAACGTTAACCACTCACCATCAGGTGGGCCGTATACTCGTCTGCCTACAAGGCCAATTTTTTTTGTTTTGGGTAACAATAGAAATTTTAAAACATACGTAAACATTATACCTGTACATTCTTATTTTTATCTAAACTCCAATTTCGAGCAAACAGTCTTTGAACTGAGTTCCAAAAAAAGCTTGATATAAAACTTAATTATGCGATGCAAATTAGGCGAGTTTAGCACAGGTTGATTTGTTTGTTACCTTCGGTGTGGATAAATTGGGCGAGAGTGCGGGAGGCTGAGGGGACCGATATTTATGCACGTTAATAAGAAGCTAGCGCCCAGACAAAGATTGTTGCGCTATATGGCAGTAAACACGCAGATCGGTTTCATAAATATTTAGAGTAAATATTAATTACATTTACGGAAAATAATGATGAAAATCAATGATTATTTATAAAATTGACTATCATACCTACATACATAATTGAAGTAATTAAATATAATTTTTACCAAAACAACAATGATGTATGTGATGTATTGTATTCTATTGTATGTAATGTACTTATTTTAAAATTATGTATTTCCATTTGGATCACGAATACAAAACTTGTCTCACCTGAATCTGATTACATAGTTCAACTAATTTACAGTTGTTACCTCATAGGTTAATTAATATTTTTAAATATTATCATTAAGCTATTATCCAATATCATTAATGTTAATGAATTACTGGAATCATAATGTAAGATAGTACCCTATCTGTACCTTTAAATCTAGGACGGAAACTTATAGACCCCGCAACCTGTTCATACCGATCACGTTGATACATGAATTATGTCTCAATGGCGTTAGTACGACTTTCCTAACTAAAACGCATGATTGCTTCAGGCCAGAAACAGGCTAGAGCATGACGCGGTATGGTCTCGGAAAATTACGATTTCCAATTACGAAAAATTAAGTTGAATGGACTATTATTTCTTTTTTAGGAAACGTCAAGCAAAATATGTAGAATGGAGTGCATTTACCTTATATGTTATAGTTATAGAAAATAAAATACACTAGACATGTGTAGATGACGCAGATTTTATGCAAAAGTTCTGGCTAAGGAACGTAAGGGGATTAAGGAAGATTGTTGGCGTAGGTATAACAGTTATTTTAAATGGGGAGAAAAGAGGTTAAATTTCCATTACGGACGATCAATCTCCAGTAGTAGAGTGGCCTAAAGAAGAGAAAGGTTAGTGTAGATAGACTTTTACTTTAATTTGGCATTTTATTGTTGGATTATAGTCGTCATGGAATTTCGAACGCAATGAACTATGTATAGAATATGAACAAGCAAAATGAAAAATATTCTATCAAATTTAAGAGGTTAAAACATGAAACAAAGTTATATATAAATAGCAAATGCAATCTACAAGCCTAACACATATCCAAGCCCGTCACAGACTCTGTGGAGTCTAGGTCCTCAGAATACCGAATATCTTTAAATTTTCTTTTTTTGAGATGGCGGAAATATATATCTGATGAGGGTAAAATCGTCTACGAAACAGATTTATCTCGAGAAGATGTTTGATTTTCTTTAATTATTAAACGGCATTTTCGTACTTCAGAATAACCAGATTCTTTCCCCGAATATCTAGTCACTAATCACTAGTCATAAAATATCTACACAATATAGCATGGTAGCATCACAACACATTATTACGATTGGGAATGTGGTAAGTAAGTCGGGTTATTAATTCGAGGTTGACCCTCTACCTCTTTCTGTTCTAACCATTGGCATACTCAGATAGGTAGCATCAAAAAAATCCGTGAGATCCTGATTATCTTCAATCGATCTTGTTCTATGAGGTGTGATGACGGTTGAACTAACATTTAATACTTACATTTAAGATTATATAGAGCATGACCAACCGATGATAATAAAGTTGAAATTAACTAAGAAACATGTATTAAATAGGATTGACCTCTAAGTCAAGTTAGTAAAGTTTGAGATTGTATGCACATTCGTAATATAGGGCCTAGACGTCTCAGGTGGCCTCTATAATAGCTTCGGATTACGAATTGAGGCTACTTATCTTTCTAGTATAATACTTCTATTTTATTCGAAGTATTCAACAGGACTCCTCAGAATTTCACTTCTTAGCTTCAATAAAAATTCAGTGATATTTCACACCCAAAAATGGCTTTCTAAAGATATTACCGCTTATTTTTTATAATCTGCTATCACAGTCATCATCATCATCATCATTATTATCATCGGTCTACATTATTATAATATGCAGTTCTGCATATATGTAACATAAGTCTTTCTCATGGCTCACCGTAATGACTATTCCTCTGCTTGTAACATCCATTGCGAATTCGCGAGTTCTATCTTAGTCAGTAAAACGTAATTCATAAGCATATTTGGGGCAACAATAATCTTGTGTTCTCATTTTAAGAAAGTCTTTTATAAAACAACGCGAGGATTCATCAAATCAATTGCTTATTGTTTTCGTCTCTTTGTACATCTCTGAAGGGAAAAATTAAGAGTGTCGCTTGCTTATAAATGCCAAGTTTGTTTACTTAGCCGTGTATCAAACATAGCGAGACTTCCTATTACAATAACAGGGACAAAGAACCCGGAATACAATTAAAAACTACAGAAATTATATCTATGTGTTCTTTTAAAATCGTTGACGAATCTATTGAAGATTCTATTCAAGAAAAAAAACGTGAGCCGTATTGTTTTTTTTTGTTTCATTTCTTACTTCTATTCGTATCGGATTGTTTTACTTTTGAGCCACGAAACTGAGAAATCGTTTTACAACAAGCTGATTTGTTGTTTCTAAGAATTTGTTTGTAAAATGTATACGTATTTATAGAACGCATGAGGCGGTCTAAGCTTATGCACTTATTTAAATTTCAGAACAAATCGTTTTGTTAAAGATTTCCTAGAAATCCTATAATCAAAAATATTTGCAAAAATCATACAAATCGTTCAATTGTTCGTATTAAGGATGTATGTCCTGATGAATTTAATTGATTCTTTTTTTGGGTACTGAACTCACGAACTATGCTTGTGTGTTGATTTTCATTCAGCGCTTGCCCTGCCCCTCCTCAAGGTTCAAGGAATACTTTAGGATAAGTAGCGTCCTAGGAATATTCCTGGCATTAGTGCTGTCTACGGGTGGCATTAACTATTAACCATTGGCCATCGGGTGGGCAGCGTTCTTTCGACTGCAAATTAAAATTAATGAGCCGAATGATTATGGATCGATAGTTTCATATAATC